ATGAACTTCGCAGTTTCGAGGTGGTAGTCCATCACATCCCAAGCATCCCAATAAAGGGGTACATCATCGAAAATAACGAACCGGTTTGCACTCGACCCGTTCGATATGATTTCGAATCCTTCCTCATCACTTTCCCTTGTCACTTCTTTACCGAACACTTTAACACTCAACAAATGTCCATTCTTAAATATTATTACCGTCAACTGAATTGATTCCAATCATTTAACACATTCCCATTCCAATAATTTACTAACGAACCTTGCTGAGTTTGGCAATCAAGTATCGATTTCTCAAAATGAAGCATTCCCCTTCTTGTGATGCAATTGGATGAGGTTTATCGATTTTGATAGTCAACGAATTCAGTTTATTGATCGCCGTTATTGAAAATGGCGATAACTCGAGAAGTCTCGAATTGTGATAATAAATTCGATTCCAACCACAACTATTCACCACGTATTTGGTCACTGGCTCACACTCACCAGTTGATTCTTCGTCTAAAGTATCTCATCGTTCATATTGATTTATGACGACCTATTCATTCAATCCTTCATTATTCAGTAATTTATATGCATTCCTATTGGTTTAAGTAATCAAATAGTTTATTATCAGCACTATTTTTAATCATTTTTTGAACAGTTATGGAATGACAATTTTTATTCTGATCGAAGCAAACTGATCATTCCATGCGCGACTCAGGTTCATTGCAAGATTCGTCGAATACGAAAAGTGTTAATTTTGGTACATACAGTCATTAAAAATCGAAAAATCAAATAAACTTGAAGAAGAAAAATTTCAAGCAAAATTATAGCGAAATGAATTGAAATAAAGCGTAACCAAAAATTTTCAGTCCACTTCCGTTATCGAAAGTTAGTTTTTCGAGCAGTTGATCGTATATATTCAATGCGTCTTCAATAACCTCCTTTATACACGTTCCTGGGAGTACATCGTGAAACTGATTCAGTAACAAATCCTTCCATTCATCGCTCAGAGAACGTGCATGACCACCTTCCAGACGTATCATTGCCTAAAATTAGAACACTAGCATGAGATACAATGAAACATCTGCACATGACAACGACCACACCAATAATTTCAATCATAATAATAATAA